AAGATTAAAGGTGATTAAAAAGGTGGAGCTAAGAGCCAGAGAAAAACTGTACCTTTTAAAAAAAGTGTAAAAAGGAACAATTACAAAAAAAAAAAGGGAAGACAGAAGGAGGGAGAGACAGGAACCGAGACAGAGAAACAGAGATAGAAGGCTGGGTGTGTGTGTGGGGGGGGGCTCCCTACCGCTAGCTCATTTGTTGGAGGCTGAATTATCTGTAGAAAATCTTCATTCCCTGAAAAATCTAGTTCGCTTGAGTCATGTGGAACCTTCTTCTGCAGGCCCGGCTTCTTCTGCTGCTAGCTCGTTTGTTGGAGGCTGAATTATCTGTAGAAAATCTTCATTCCCTGAAAAATCTAGTTCGCTTGAGTCATGTGGAACCTTCTTCTGCAGGCCCGGCTTCTTCTGCTGCTAGCTCGTTTGTTGGAGGCTGAATTATCTGTAGAAAATCTTCATTCCCTGAAAAATCTAGTTTGCTGGAGCCATGTGGAACCTTCTTCCTCACAAAATATCTTAATTATACTTTCAATAGCAAGATCAGCTGATATATACATATCTGTAAACACATGTCTGACTTTAGGCATGAAGCTGTGAGTAGAATGAATATACTAGAGAACCAACATTTTAAACAGTTATGGTAGGACTATAAGTTCCAACATTGCCTCCCCCAGCCACTGGGACAGGTATGTGACTCACAGATGACCAATCATAGTCATCCTTGATAGATGGTGGTTGAGAAAGAGAAAACTTCTTTTAGTAAGAGTTGGGAAGATACTAACGTGGAGCTTATTCCCCACACAGAGACTCTGACTATAGAAAGAGGTTAAGGGGTTAAATAAAGCTGAGACATGGACAGAGCTGGGTCTAGTAGATTTTCCAATCATATGAGCTAATAAATTCTATTTTTTCTTTTAATTAAAACAAATTTGATTTAGGATTATATCACAATAACAAGAATCCTAACTCATACAGAACTTACTGTAAGTTTTTTAAAGAATTTTTTTTGTTTAACTTTATTTAATTTGACCAGAGTGAGAGAGAGAGAGAGAAAGTGAGAAAGCAAGCCACTAGGTCCAGGACTTGAGCCATGGTTGGCCATATGGGAGTCCAGCACTCTTAACCACCAACACCACCTGCTGGTCTCAGAATTTATTATAATTTTAACAGATTTATTGAGATATAATTCACATACTATTCAGTCTACCCATTTCACACTATTTTTAACTGTATATTTATTTCTACAACTATGTGTTTACTGTCTCTTCTCCCATTAGTTCCATGACAGTAAAGATTATATCCTGTCAGGACAGAATCTGGCTCAGACTATGTGCTCTATAAATATTTTTCAAAGAATAAGTGAACACATATATGAATGAATATCAAATTTGATAATAAAACAAATATAACATAATCCTTGCTCTCAAGGTCTAGCAAGAGAGATAGACATGGGAGCCAGCAGGTTCATAGTGGTAAAGGCGCTAGATTCCCACATGGTCAGCTGTGGTCTGAGTCCCGGAACTGGCAACTTGCTTTCTCACTCCCCCCCACCTCCTCTCACTGTGTTCCTCTCTGGTCAAATTAAGATTGATTAAATAAAAATAAATAAATAAAACAGATAAATAAATAAAGTTAAATAAAATAATTCTCAAGAGAGAGAGAGAGAGAAAGAGAGAGAGAGAGAAAGAGAGAGAGAGAGACAGACATAGGTAATCAAGTTCCAGTAAGCAATAGAGGAAAACTCAGGATATTGTGAAGGACAGAGATAGTTTACCTTGACCTGCCTAAATCTAGCTCACCCGTTAAGATCCTCTTCAAATGTCTATCTAAACCCTGCACTAAAAATTAATCTCATTTCTGTGTTCCTACATAAATCTAATAGAACTACACTGACTTCCTTACGTTTTGGTGAGAAACATCAGGTTACATTGAAAGAAGTGGTAAGAAACAGTCTATGAAGTTCAGTATTGTGGTTGCTGGAATGTGTTTGATATTAAGGGCATGATCCCATTCAGGATAGAGTTTCTTCTACAGCTGCCAGTGAAGAATGGTGTTTCTCTGTAATAATGGGTTTGTTTTATTATATATTAAGGATACTCTGAACCATGTAACAATTATGTTTACCTCTTTGCAATGGTTGCTAGGAAGAGCTCAAAGCCAATATTTTGACCCAACTCTTGCAGGTGCCCAGGAACTTATGACATATATACTTATCTCACCCTGGCTTTCTCTTATTTTTCTCCCATCTTAGCTTTCTCTTTGCTCCAATTTTTTCACTTTTTTTTTTTTATTGCTGTTCTATGATGACTTTTATAAGACACCTCAAATCCTTCAGGAGAAGGAACTAGTTAAAAGAGTCATGAATTTAAATTTTACTTACATATTCAATACAATATAATAAAACATATACGTATCATAACACATAGGAACATAATTCACAATACAATACATTTTGATGTCACAAACACTATCTCCTCTGTCTATTCCCATGCACACATTTGTTTACACACATGTGTCATGTACATACCAAGCTGTTCTGCAAGGAGCCTGCCCTTCTCAGTGGGAACAACTCTCTCTTCCTCCATGTCACACTTATTTCCCACCAGAATAACTTGAGCATTATCCCAGGAGTAGGTCTTGATCTGAGTAGCCCTAAAGAGACAGAGAGAAACATGTTAATCATATTGCTATGAACTGAATGTCTGTGCCCCATTCCTCATTCCATGTTAAAACCTAATCCCCAATGTGATGGTATTTGGAGGTGGAACCTTTGGGAGGCAATTATGTCATGAGGATAGACCCCCTGATCAATAGACTTAGTACTCTTATAAAAAGAGAGTCTAGAATTCTCTTTGTCTTAGCCATGTGAGAATACATGAAGGTGTCTGTCTCCAGACACCAGATCAGCTAGCACCTTGATCTCAGACTTACAGCCTCAAAAACTGTGAAATGTAAATATTTGTCAGTTCAGCCACCCGGTGTATGGTATTTTAGCACATCCTCCTAGGTTGGAAAGAGAACTGTGAAGGCTGATGAACTGGTTTCCCTTCCATGAGGCTAGCAACAGTTAAGTTACTGTCAATTAATTTAGCTGAGGACAGACAGACACATAGCTGCCCCTGAAGGCTGTCTTAGATATTGACCCTTTAGCCCTGCTTGTAAATCTTACCCACCTCTTTTGTAAATGTATCTAATGTGTCTGGCTATCACTCTCCTCACTGGGGTGAGAGATTTTTCTAAAACATGTATCTGACCACAATGGATCCTTTCTTCTCTGGCCCTACTTGCTATGTGATCAAGTCCAGATTCCTCCATTCAAATACATTCATGGCTCCTGTTTCCAGACTCAGCACCTTTCTTCCTGCCTCACAAATCTTCTTTCTTATTCCTCAAGTGCTCTTTCAAGGTTTGTGCTTTGCCCATACCTTGCCTTCCCCACAGCAAATGCATCCTCCAAGGCCAAGGCTGATCCACACTGCTGCAGGGGGAACTTCTCAAGCTTCCCCAAGCCCAGCCAGCTCTCCCTCTCCCTCTCCCTCTCCCTCTGTGATTCATAAACTTTCATTGAGGCCTTAGATCAAGATTATCTGCAGAAACTAAAATGTCAGCAGTGAGTTCTTTTGCATAGGATGATTGTAAGACTTAAAAAAAAATACTTAAAATGTTTGTACTTTAAAAATTTTTTTGAAAGTGAGAATGCATTATTTCTATAATTAGAAACAAAACTTCAACAGAGAGAATAAAATAGGACCCATACATTGTAAAGACATCTTTTTTCATGGGGATGGGCCTAACTCTGTCCTTAATTACTCCATCAGATCAAAATAATCTTTTTCCCTTTTGGCCCTCTGCATCTTTACCAGATCTGCTTGGCTGAATTTATCTGTTTTTCCCTGAGGGCAAGGACAAGTTTATTCATCTTTGGGATGCCCACATCCAGCATAAAGCCCAGAGCAGAGAAGGTGCCAGTGAAGTTTGATGAATGAATAAGTTGGTGAATGGTTCATCTTGAAGCGTATCTTAAATTCGACCCTACTCTGACATAGTCACTCAATCTAGCTTAACCCTAACTGCAACCTGGACCTAGTACCTGCTCCTAAAGATTATCCCACCGCTAACCATCTAACCTACGGTGAAAAGTCACCTCAGAATTAATTCAACCACCATTGGTTGTGGGTTCACAAAGAGCCAGGCCCGTTGCTGGGCACTGGGACTTGGATGATCGTTGGGTGCCAGACTGAGACCAAGTTATCCAGAGGCAAAACTCAAAGGCCAGGACCTGGGAGAAACAGGCACTCAGTGTTCAGACTCAAGTCGGTACCTAGAACCAGCACTCCTTATCTCCCCATACTACTCTTCCTCCCTCCTCCCATCCCATCCCCTCTTAGCTTATTGCTCCCAGATTAGAAACAAGCTCCGGTTATTCTTGGGGGGATCATCACCAGGTGTTAAAATCACTGTGTTCCTGAGGCAGAATGAGCAGGGACTGATGGAGAAAGGGAGGATGGCCAAGGCCAGTAAGGAATGAGCAATGTGGAGACATTTAAAGAAAGAGCTAATCACCCATGGGAGGTGTGGTAAGAGAGAAAAGATGGAGAGGGGAGGAGGGGAGAAAGGGAATGACAAAGAGAGTAAAGGAAAAGGAAAAAGAACAGAGAGGAAATAAGGAAAGTAAAGGGATAGAGATTAAAAAGGAGTGGGGAGAGGGACCAGCAGAGGGCATAATGGTTACATCACTGGAATCCCATGTAGTCGACCAGTCTGAGTCCCCAATCCGGTGGCTTAAAATTCATGCCAGGTGCATATGTGTGTGTGCCCAAAATCCCAAGAGGAGAAGGGATCATGGTTTGGCCATTCCCTCTGGGGGGTGATTTCTTGCTTTCTATCTCTCTATTTCTTGGGCGACCACAAGCACCCTGTAACAAAAAATCTCTCTTAAAAAAAGGAGTGGGAGGAAGAGGGAGAAAAGAAGAAGAAAATGGCTAAGAGGCAGAAAAGGAGACAACAGGCTCCCACGATTGACAGACATGCTGCCTGCTGATGGCACCCTGGACTCAGTTGGAACAGGGGAGTGCAGCAGGCAGCTTAGAAGGTCACTCAGCTCAAGGCTCCAAGTCACTAACAGTGCTTCACACAGTTGGGACAACTACTCCTCTGGAGAAGGGAAATACAGGGTAGTTGTTGAGTAACTAGAGACAAGCTCTTGCCGGCCAGCGCTGCTGCTGTATACCTGGCTTGATCAGCCTCTCTGGTTCTGTGAAGCAGCCATAGGACAGAGGCTCCACTTTCTCCCATACTCATCTGATTAGAAACAGAGTCCTGGCCCTCCCTCTCATGGCTTTTTCCCCTTATGCTTCCTTCTTCCATGAGTAATGCCCCGGAAGTAAGACATGAGTTGCTCAGAGGTCACACCTCTGAGGTGCACTACTGATTTCCATTGCACTACTGATTTTCCATCGAACCTTTCTGACCTTGGACTGCATAAACTGTATAGAGAGGTGCTATGTGGACTCACTCTTCACTGTAGCCAGAGTAATCTTCCTAAAGAATGAGCCTAAACCCATGTCATGACATTTGAATTGAAAAATCCTTCATGATCTGGTCCCTTCCTGCCCTCTCCTCTACCTTGTCACCTTTGCACGACCGTATTCTTTTTCTGGGATATTTGTATCCATTCATTGCTTATCTATTCAAGGCCAGTATGGAAGAGGCGAACTCCTATTTATCTTACAATATGCAGCATATGTGTTAGCAACTCTGGGACACCTTACTTGACTCCCTAAACTGAGTCAGAGAGCCCTCTGAGGAGTTCCCATAGTCTTGATGCCTCCCTTCATCAGTACACTTGTCACATGACCTTTTCATTGCCTGCTTACTGATCTGTTCTCTCCTCTGTGAACTTTTGGAAGGCAGGAACCATGGGTGGTTCTTCTGGGTTTCCCTGACACACAGCACTGGCCTTGCACATGTTAGTTTCATGAAGTTTGCTGAATGAATGAATGAATGAATCCATACCAGTCTTGGACAGCGTTGAAAGACTCCTCATTGGTGATGTCATACATCAGAATGAAGCCCATGGCCCCACGGTAATAGGCTGTTGTGATGGTCCGATATCGCTCCTGTCCAGCAGTGTCCTGGGTGGGGAAAGGAGAGAGTTAGCTCCTAGAAAGTCTGCTTTGGGACCAGCAGTTAGCATAATGGCTATGTCGCTGAACTCCCATGTAGCCGACCGCAGTTCGAGTCCTGGACCCGGTGGCTTAAACTCACGCCGGGCACGTGTGTGTGTGTGCCCAAGATCCTGAGAGGAGAATGGAGGAGAAGGGATTTCAGCGTGGCCATTCCCCTCAGTGGGGGGAGGGGCTGATTTCTCGCTTTCTATCTCTCTGTCTCCCTCTGTCTTTCTGGCGAACGCACACACCCTATAGCAAAAACCTCTCCAAAAAAAAAAAAAAAAGAAAAGAAAAAAGAAAAAGAAAGTCTGCTTTGACTCCTAAAATGTTCCCAAGACAAGTAACTAATAATTCAAGGCATATTGAAGGAGCACCTAGTATGTGTCTTGTATTATACTTGGTGTTAGAATAAAATTATTTTTTTAAATATCATGGAAATTAATAAGAACAGAATTAAAATTTCAATAGAAAAATGGGATTGTGTATCTTATTTATATAGAGAGAGAGGGAGAGAGAGAGGAAGAGAGACAGAGAGAACACACACAAGCCTTAGCCAGGAACCATATTTTGTGTGATATCAAAATAGAACACCGGACCCGGCAGGTGGCATGGTGGTTAAGGGTGCTGTACTCCCACATGGCTGACTATGGTTCGTGTCCTGGACCTGGAGGCGTGGTTTTTCGCTTTCTCTCTCTCTCTCCCTCTCTCTCTCTTTCACTCTGTCCCTCTCTAGTCAAATTAAAATAAATAAATAAATAAATAAAGTTTAAATAAACTAGAACAGCACCATCCCAGCCCTCAGGAAGTCTCAGTAGAATTGTGGAGGTGTCTAAAGCTTACCCATGAACTGATCATTAGCAATATGAGGCAATGTGTCATTAACTAGATAAGTGGCATAGAGAAATTTTGTCCACAAATTCAGGTAAGGTTAAATATGGTGGTTTGAAACAGTTAGAAAAGATATAAAAACAGAAATAGTGTACCAATTAAGATAGACTGTGTTCCTAGTTTACAAGCAATCCCCAAATCTCAGCAGCTTACCCATCAGGGTCTATTTTTCATTATTGTTATATATCCATTAAGGATCAGCTGGGTGCTCTGCTTTTTGTCTTCCTTATTCCAAGATAAAGACTGACATAGCAGCTACCAGAGGGAAAGAAGGTGTATGAGTCATGTCTTGGCTCTTAAAACTTCTACATTTCCCATTTCATCAGCCAAAGCAAGTCACATGTCCTAATCCAACTTCCAAAGGGTACAAAAGTACAATACTGTGATATGCCCCAGAGGAGAATCAGAAATATGTGGTGGACAGCTCAACGATTCCCACAGGTGCAACCTGCTCTGAGCCTAGGAGCATTGCCAACAGTTGTGATTATTTGGCAGTTTATATTTGGCAACTTTTATAAAGAAGAATTTTCTAAACAAAGAAGTAAGGGAACAGTATTTTGGCAGAAGAAAAATTATTTGTCCCTGAAAAACTTAAGGAATAATAAGATTTTTGATCATTTTATTTTCATGTCAATAAGTTTATTAGAATTTTCCTTCTGACCACAGCACTTCTTCCTGAGTTCTGGCAAATGCGATTTTCTCTAGCTCATGAATGAGTGAGTGGGAAGATAAATAGGTAGATAGATGGATGAGTAAGTGAATGAGTGAGTGAGTGAACCTGGAACTAACCCTGGAACTCTTAGGCACTACTGAAAGAAATATTTGAAGTCTGCCATATCTACACAAAGGTATGTGTGTCTGTATGTGCATGCATGCGTGCATGTGTGTGTGTGTGTGTGTGTGTGTGTGTGTGCCTAAGAAACATTGCAATGATGTGTGATCTTTTCCTCCTGTGCCCTTGCCTCTGCTTCCTAAGCTCCTCAGAGTAATTCCACAGACAAGATATGTGACCATCCACAGACTCAGTTCCTAAACCCTGTCCTATAAGGTTTATAATTAAGCCGCCTTTATGATCTGGAGGCCCAGGCAGGATTTCTGAGCTCCTGCTCTGCCACCAGATCTCAGCCTTTCCCACTTGCCCTGTTACTCTGTGAGAGCGTCTTATCCCCAGTCTCTGCCTTGAACCTGGCCCTGTGTCCCAGCTCTTTGACAGAAAAGCCCAGTCACCTAACTGATGCTCAACCAATTGGGAATCCTGGTACATAATCATAAATCAGCTTGGATATGGAATCAGAGCTGTGTACATAGTAAGGATTAATCACGGCCTACTAAACAGAAAAGCCATATAGTCTTTTTTTTTTTTTAAATTTGCCGTAGGGCATACACACTCACCAAAAAGAGAGAGAGTGAGAAAGCAAGCCGCCAGGTCCAGGACTCTAACTGCAGTCAGCCATGTGCTAGTCCAATGCCTTAACCACCATATCACTTGCTGGCTCCTTGCCATATAGTCTTGAGGTTAATAGCATGGTATGTATGTATGTATGTATATATTTTAATTTGACCAGACAGGGGACAGATTGAGACAGAGAGAGAGAGAGAGAAAGTGAGAAAACAAGCCACCATGTCTGGGACTCCAACCACAGTCGGCCACATGGGAGTCCAGCACCCTTAACCACCACACCACCTGCCAGCCCCAATAGCATGGTCTTTCACGGTAGACTTCTGGATGAAAGTCCCTGTTCTACCACTGATGAACTATGTGACCATGGTATGCATTTTCTAAAAAGGCTTTCAATGATCGCTGTCTCCTGGAATTCATGCTCACGAGTAATCCTCTCTTTTAGTAATTTGCCTTTTTAGGCCTTAGTTTCTTCCTCTATAAAGTGGGAATAATAACAAAGCCTACCTCACAGAGTTTTGTGAGGAGTAAGAAAGTTATTATATGTAAAATGTTCAGGAAATCTCCTGGTACATGGTAAGCACCATATGGATTTCAGTTATTGTTTTGCATTTCCAGGGTTAGCCCCACCAGCAGGGCCAGCTTCTCAGAGTCTGCCCAGCTGAAGTGGATGGGTCTCATAACATATGTCACTTCTCTCCATTCAGATAGGTCCAGGGCTGCCTCTAACCTTGATCTCAATGATGCTTCCAGTAAGGAGTGGCAATATGACCTGACAGAGAAGGAATGGATGCGCTTAAGAATTGAACAGGTCTTGGTCTGACTCCTGGATCTGCCATTGTCAGCCATGTGATTTTGGACAGATCATTTATTTTATCTCTGAGGCTGGGTTTCCTCACATATGAGCGGAAATAAAAATATCTATATTTTTTTTTTTGGAGAGGTTTTTGCTATAGGGCGCATGCGCTCGCCAGACAGACAGAGACATAGAGACAGAAAGCGAGAAATCACCCCCCAGGGGGGATGGTCACACTGCGATCCCTTCTCCTCCATTCTCCTCTTGGGATCTTGGGCACACACGCACACGCGCCTGGCATGAGTTTTAAGCCACCAGGTCCGGGACGCGTACCGCGGTCGACTTTGTGGGAGTCCAGCGACATAGCCAATTATGCTAACTTCTGGTTCCCAAAAATATCTATTTTGTATAGTTTTCATAATTAGATTTTTTAAAATGCCCAGTTCATAATAGGTACTCACATATAGGAGTATTTATCATTCTCATTTAACTTTTTTTTAAAACTTTATTTACTTTTTTTTTTTTTGAGAGGTTTTTGCTATTGGGCATGTGTGCTCACCAGAAAGACAGAGAGACAGAAAGTGAGAAATCACACACACACACACACACACCCCAGGGAGGATGGCCACTCTGCAATCTCTTCTCCTCCATTCTCTTCTCGGCATCTTGGGCATGCTTGCACACACATCTGGCATGAGTTTTGTCACTGGGTCCAGGACTCGAGCCATGCTCAACTAGGTGAACATAACCATTATGCCATCTGCTAGTCCCTGGATGTGTTATCTTTAGAGAGAGGGACAAAAAGAGAGAGAGAGAGAGTGAGAGCACGCACAGGCTAGCTACTAGGTCTGGGACTTGAACCACAGTCAGCTATGTGGGACTTCAGTGCCCTTAACCACTATGCTACCTGTCAGACCCTCATTTAACTTATAAAATTAATTTTTAAAAATTAAGGCAGTTTTAGGCTAGCAGGTGGCATAGTGGTTAAGACTCTGGGTTCCCACATGGCCAACTGTGGTTTGAGTCCTGAACCTGGTGGCTTGAAAATCATGCAAGGTGCTTATGCATGCATGCCCAAAATCCCAAAAGGAGAATGAAGGAGAAGGGATTTCAGAGTGGCTATCTCCCCCTCGGGGGTGATTTCTCATTTTGCCTCTCACTGTCTTTCTCTAGCAAGTGCACGCACCCTTTGGCAAAACCCTAACAACAACAACAACAACAATCAAGACAGTTTCTTTATCTGTAGAATGGTGTTAAAAATGGCAGCCTTGACGTGATTGTGTAAGAATTAGATAATGTCTGGGTAGAGCCTGCAGAGCACCAGGCACATGATAGGTGCCCAGTAAAGCTCATAGTAACTGTTGCTATCGCTGCCGATATTGTTGTCATTGTTATTTCATTTAAAAAGAGCAAGGTTGGAAACAATAACAAGCCAGTCTCACTAGCCTGTGCAAAATAGAAAGAAGAAAGAAGCCCAGAAAATTGCTCCTAAACCTCCCTCTATCTTTTATTTTTAAAAATCACATTGACGAACATTGATTCCCCTCCCACTGGTGAGAGTCAGAAATAGAACCAAAGTGAAGACAGGAAGGAAGAGAAAGAGGAATGACTCACTGGCTACTTGAAGGAGACCATGTTATCAAGAACCATCAATTCACTTCTATTCAACAGACATTCATTGAGCTCTTCATGAGCAGAGCATTAGGCCAGAGAGTGGCCTTCAGCGAGACTGAGCTGGCCTCCAGCAGCTCTGTCAGTGTAGCAGGCAGGCATGTGGGCAAGAGGAAAGGGAACCAGTATCAACTCAAAGCCTACTATGTGCCAGCATTTATTATTTGTAGAAACCAAACAAAACTGCTAGTTGAGCATTGCTAGTACCAG